GGAACCTTTATTGCCCTCGACTGATATGGCTTTCTTATTCCTGATGTTAATTGGAATTACAGAACTTGTGAAGTTTGAAAGTACTTGTTTTTTGCAATTACAATTTTTTTTGTTTTTTTTTTTAATTTGTGCAGGATTATGTGAATAACAATGACAAAGGAAAACAAAATCGAGAGCAAACCCTCCAAAAGTGAAGACGAAGCAAGGATAACTCGCTCCCGAGTTAATTTTTGTTTTTTAAATTTTTTTTTTTTTTATGCACACACCGTTTATTTTGTACATATATGCACATAATATAAACATTACATACCCAGTGGTGAACTTGAATGAAGGTTGATGTTGCTATTTTGGATATTTTATTTTCATTAGGTTAACCTATCTAAATGAAGTTCTTGGGATAAACAGTAAGTATTTTTTTTTTTTTTTATGCACACACCGTTTATTTTGTACATATATGCACATAATATAAACATTACATACCCAGATTTTTTTAATGCACACACACCGTTTATTGTGCTTATATATACACACAAGATAAACAGTACATAAACAAATATTGTAATGCACACACAACATCTATTGTGAATATATACACATAACATAAACACTACATAAACAATTTGATTTTCATATATACACCTAAGATAAACACCACATAAACAATTTGATTTTTTATATACACATAATATATAAATTACAGAAACTTTTTTTTTATGCACACACCGTTTATTTTGTACATATATACACATAAAATAAACATTACATAAATAGATTTTTTTAATGCACACAAGCGTTTATTGTGCTTATATATACACTACGATAAACAGTACATAAACAGATATAGTAATGCAGACACATCATCTATTGTGCATATATACACATAAGATAAACACTACATAAACATTTTTTTTATTTTAAATGCACACACCATTTATTGTGCATTTATATAGCCAAAAGATACACAGTACATAAACAAATACCTACAGTGTAAAACGCATATAGATTTGAATTGCAACATTCATTTTTTTAATAAAAGAGTCCAGTACAATTGTACCACAACTAAACAACAACCGACCAATCTAAAAATTAACCCTTACCACAAATGAAACACTAAGAAAACACATTAATCTAATTTTATTTAACTCTCTTCGGATTTGAACATGTCTTTAGATTATGCCCTTTCTCACCACATTTGCTGCACCTGTTTTTTACCCGAGACTCCCATCCCGGTTTGACGCTTTAACGTACCATTTGCACTCCGTACATATGCACTTCACGTAGTATTGCTTTGGACAAGACTTCTCCACTTTGAACTGATATTGGTTTGTTATTGGATGGTGGCTGAGCAGCTTGATCACTTCATTTTTATCTCTGAAAGATTGGCCGACAACAACATCCCAAATCATACTTCCATCGACACAACATTCAAGTGTTCTGAAGTTGTTTAACTCCTGTTTATCTTCCGTATACTTAACTGCTTCAAGCATTGTATCTGCAGCATGTTCCGCAAAGGATCTATAAAATTCATCTCTTTCCGAGTTTCCCCGGGCTGCCTCAAGACAATTTAAGCCTTCTATATCACACAATGACGGATATGTAGACATTGGCATTATGCCTCCAACGGGAGAGGGGACGTTTATTAATTTTTTTATAACCACACACAAGGGCAACTTTGTGTAATCACACTCCTTCGATTTCAACGACATATAAAACTGTAGGCTGCTATCATCATCCACACTCATAGCTGGATATCCGTTTTTCACTTGATACTTCATCTCCATATCATTTGAATTCGCGTTTACCTTCAGTTTATCAGAAACAATATCTCGGAGCTGATTGTAGTTACATGATGAACTAATCAAAACACCTCCAACGTCATAGTTCACGTATTCATTGTTGATCCATACTCCATTATGATGTAGAAACACATTTACATCATTCATGTTCCTGAAAAATAAACATATTCGCTAGAGGTAAAAAAAAAACGAAATTACGTTTCCTGAAAAAAAACGAAATTACGTTTCCTGGAAAAAAAAACGAAATCTAATTCCAAATTTTTGTCACAAACAAAAAAAAAAAACGAAATCTGAAAATAAAAAAAATAAACGAAATCTGGATCTAAAAAAACAGAATCTGAAAATAAAAAAAATAAAAAAAAAACCAACAATTACGTTTCCATCACCAAAAAACAAAGTTAAATAGACATGAATATACCTTCAAACGTCTTTGATTCAAGACTAATTCCAAATTTTTGTCACGAACAACAAGCGTTTTTTTTTTCCTTCGCAAGTGTTTTTTGGTACCCACTAATCTGTTCACGAAGAGATTCTTCCGTTCCCTGATGTTTGAATTCGTGATTTTCTGGATTATAGGAAATCACGATCGCCCTCTTTTTCATTTTTTTTCTGTTGAACGTGTTTTGCCGTTTTTTTTTGCGTCAATCTCGCTTGATGAAATTCAATAAATGGAGAGAGAATAAACATATCTCATTATTTATTTACTATGTCGTATTTGTGAAAATAAAATCACTACTAATTCCTCTTTTGATTATGTTTCCTTCTAATAGTATTTATGTAGATATTTCTAGTCTAGGGGTTATGTATGTATTTTTCCCATACCTTAGTATCATGGTCAAACATGGCTTAGTAGTTCGGGTTGTTTTGAAGCCCAATCAATCAAATAGGATTAGTTAGGTAGCCCAAAAGTAAACTACTGGGCCTTAACTAATCTGTATTGGATTTCTCATATAGATTCGGCCAATGGGGCCTATCTATATATATATAATTACTAGCATTTAATAAAACCTAATTAATTTTACCTATGTGGCAATTTAATATTTTTTCCTCCAAAAACCGTTACTTTTTTATGTATTTAATTTTTTATTTAATTATTAAATAATCAATACTAATCACTTCATAATTACAAAAATCATTTTAAACTTTTTATTAGTGACAGTTAACCATATAATATTTTGATCGTAT